AGCCTCCAAAATTTGGTCCTCACCAGACTTCTTCATTAAAACATGATCCTACAGAATGAGAGAAAGAAGCAGCCAAAATTCAGCCAAACAATGCATGCTAAAAGCAGCAGCACACTGATTAAGGGTGATGCCATGTGACCTCCCAGAATCCTCCTCACCTCTCCGGTCAGCAGGTGGAGGATCTCCAGGGTGAGGTCTAATATCTTGCTTCTGTTCTTCTCCATTTTAGCACACTCTGACATAACCGTACATCACATCTGAAAAGACAGAAAACCAATTCATATAGTAAAGGCTCACCAGATAGTTCCTTCACTACTTTATAATCCTGTGTATAGAGAGAAAGTAACAATTATCACCACAGACTTCCCAGAATCCTCCTCACCTCTCCGGTCAGGTCCGTGTTTTAATTCCAGAGATAAAGTGATGTCATGTGACCTCCCAGTATCTGGTCTATGATCCAATATCATTTATTACCTCATTGGCCTCAAGTTCCAGTAATATCTCCTCGTAATGTCTCACCTGTCATCACTTCCTGTCTGTAGATTACATCACTTCCATCTTTGGGTTCCACACTCAGAAATGAGATCCCCATCTTATGGCAGATGTAAAAACTGCAGTCTACTTTGTTCTTTTTGTTCTCTCTTCCATCGGATCCAACTCAGCTACTTCTCGTTACTGACCTTAGTCTTGTTCATTGACTACTCTTCCATCGAAAATCCAACTCAGCTACTTCTCGTTACTGACCTAGAGAATTGTTAATTGACTACACTTCCATCAGATCCAATTCAGCTACTTCTCGTTACCCGACCGATAGACTTGTTAATTGACTACACTTCCATCCGATCCCATTCGGCTACTTCTCGTTACTGACCTATAGTCTTCTTCATTGACTACTGTTCCATCGGATCCAACTCAGCTACTTCTCGTTACTGACCTATAGTCTTCTTCATTGACTACTGTTCCATCGGATCCAACTCAGCTACTTCTCGTTACTGACCTATAGTCTTCTTCATTGACTACTCTTCCATCAGATCCCACTCAGCTACTTCTCGTTACTGACCTATAGTCCTGTTCATTGACTACTCTTCCATCGGATCCAACTCAGCTACTTCTCGTTACTGACCTTCTACATCAATACTGCTCACTGATTGGCTACTAGAGGTTATTGCACATCATTACTGCTCACTGACTGGTTGCCAGGAGGTTACTGTGCATCATTATTGCTCACTGATTGGTTGCTAGAGATTACAGCAGATCACTACTGTTAACTGATTGGTTGCTAGAGGTTACTGCACATCATTACCGCTCACTGGTTGCTAAAGGATACTGCACATTGTTACTGCTCACTGATTGGTTGCTACAGATTACAGCAGATCACTACTGTTCACTGATTGGCTGCTAGAGGTTGCTGCTCATCATAACCGCTCACTGGTTGCTAGAGTATACTGCACATTGTTACTGCTCACAGATTGGTTGCTAGAGATTACAGCAGATCACTACTGTTCACTGATTGGGTGCTAGAGGTTGCTGCTCATCAAAACCGCTCACTGGTTGCTAGAGTATACTGCACATTGTTAATGCTCTCAGATTGGTTGCTAGAGATTACAGCAGATCACTATTGTTCACTGACTGGTTGCTAGAGGTTACTGCACATTATAACTGCTCACTGATTGGTTGCTAGAGATTACAGCAGATCAATACTGTTCCTTGATTGGTTGCCAGAGGATACTGATCATTACTGCTCACTGATTGGTTGCTAGAGATTACAGATCACTACTGTTCCCTGATTGGTTGCTAGAGGTTACTGCACATCATAACTGCTCACTGATTGGTTGCTAGAGATTACAGCAGATCACTACTGTTCACTGACTGGTTGCTAGAGGTTACTGCACATCATAACTGCTCACTGATTGGTTGCTAGAGATTACAGCAGATCACTACTGTTCCCTGATTGGTTGCCAGAGGATACTGATCATTACTGCTCACTGATTGGTTGCTAGAGATTACAGATCACTACTGTTCCCTGATTGGTTGCTAGAGGTTACTGCACATCATAACTGCTCACTGATTGGTTGCTAGAGATTACAGCAGATCACTACTGTTCACTGATTGGTTGCTAGAGGTTACTGCACATCATAACTGCTCACTGATTGGTTGCTAGAGATTACAGCAGATCACTACTGTTCACTGATTGGTTACTAGAGGATACTGCACATCATTACTGCTCACTGATTGGTTGCTAGAGATTACAGCAGATCACTACTGTTCACGGATTGGTTGCTAGAGATTACAGCAGATCACTACTGTTCACTGATTGGCTGCTAGAGAATACTGCACATCATTATTGCTCACTGATTGGTTGCTAGAGATTACAGCAGATCACTACTGTTCACGGATTGGTTGCTAGAGATTACAGCAGATCACTACTGTTCACTGATTGGTTGCTAGAGGTTGCTGCACATCATAACCGCTCACTGGTTGCTAGAGGATGCTGCACATTAGTACTGCTCACCGATTGGTTGCTATTGGTTATTGCGCATCATTACCACTTACTTATCGATTGCTAGAGGTTACAGCATCTCGAGCAACTAATCAGTGAGCCGTAATGTGTGCTGTAACCTCTACCAACCAGACAGTGAGCTGTAATGATATGCTGTAATCTCCAGCAGCCAATCGCAATTGCTGTCTGATCTGCTGAATAAACTGATTTTGAGTATTGTGTCTCAGAGCAGGTGGAGAATGAAATTGCATGGGGAGAAGGGGGGGCAATAAAATGTTTCCCCAAGGTCCAATCAATATTATAGATGGCCCTGATAAGGGTAATAACTGGGAAATTACGGAGCCGATCACTGTGACCATGAGGAGGATAACCAAAATGGCAGCGATTGGAATATTTTATGTGGCATTTGTAGTGGTTCCATGTAGTCCTCAAAATATTATCTGGACCTTCTGGACTCTCCATCTCCCCAATAAAACACCAATGGATGACTCCCTCTGAACTGAGTACATTCCAATCACCGATCACCTAAAAATGATGTTCGTTTGTAAAAAAAAAAAAAAAAAAGGGACTCAGAACAGAATACTTTAAAGTGTAAAGCCTTCTTGATTATTTCAGAATACCAAAATACGTGATTAACACACAATAAAGAATCAAAATTAAAGTGGAGTGTCATTTCTGTCTGCTTCTTCTTTCCCCTGTTATCAGCATGAGTCACTTCCGACAGGTTTTCCTGACACCAAGAGAAAAATGGTGACAGGGGAAGGACTTCCAGCAGATTGACAGCCTCAGCTCCGTTCCTCTGAGCTGTGTGGATGAATTTAAATGAATGTGAATTTAAAAAAATACAATCCTGCAACGTAAAATAACTTTTATTGAAAGTAAAACACAGAAATTGGACAGAAAAGAAGATGAAATATATATAAAAGTCAATGGGATGCGGTTTTGAATGACAGTCGACGGGACTCGATTTTGCATTGAAGTGAATGGGATGCGATTTTGCATAGAAGTCAATGGGATGCGATTTTGCATTGAAGTCAATCAGATGCAATTTTGCACTGAAGTCAGTGGGATACCATTTTTCATTGACATCAATGGTACTCGATTTTGCACTGAAGTAATTTGGACACTATTTTTCATTGAAGTCAACGGGACGCGATTTTGTACTGAAATCAACAGGACATGGTTTGACATTGAAGTCAATGGGGGAGGGTGTTTCTGCATTAAAGTCAGTTGGATGCAACTTTGTATTAAAATCAATGGGATTCGATTCTTCATTAAAGTCAACGGGGGGGGGGTTTCATTAAAGGCAGTGGGATGCAACTTTGTATTAAAATCAATGGAATGCGATTCTGCATTGAAGTCAATAGTGGGCGCTTTGCATTGAAGTTCATGGGAAGTGATTTTGCATTGAAGTCAATGGGACTCTATTTTGCATTGAAGTCAGTAGCGGGTGTTTCTGCATTGAAGTCAATGGCACACAATTTTGCATTGAAGTAGGCGGGGGTTGCATTAAAGTCAGTGGGATGCAACTTTGTATTAAAATCAATGGGATGTGATTCTGCATTGAAGTCAGTAGTGGGCGTTTTTGCATTGAAGTCAACGGGATGCAATTTTGTATTGAAGTCAATGGGACGCAATTTTGTATTGAAGTCAAGGGGATGTGAATTTGCATTGAAGTCAATAGGACTCAATTGTGCATTGAAGTCAATAGGGGACATTTTTGCATTGAAGTCAATGGGACGTGTTTGTGCACTGAAGTCAATAGGGGGCATTTTTTGCATGGAAGTCATTGAGACGCAATTTTTCGTTGAAGTTAATGGGACGCATACACGACTAATAAACCGTATGGTCGATGGGTTGCCGTATTCGATGGTGCGGTCTGCGTCATTAGGAGAATAAATCAGTACTGTATGTTTATCTGGATGTAAAAAAGGTTGTTAGTCCATGTGAATCCTCTGGTGTCGATCCATGGCGCTTTTTTGACTGAAGCATTTCCCGCACTTTGAACACGAATAAGGGCGCTCACCCGTGTGAACACTTTGGTGCCTACGAAGTTTATCTTTCCGGACAAAACATTTCCCGCACTGTGAACATGAATAAGGGCGCTCACCTGTGTGACTTCTCTGATGTATAAGAAGTTTTTCTCTCTGAGGGAAAGATTTCCGGCATTCTACGCAATAATAAGGACGCTCGCCTGTGTGAATTTTCAGGTGTTGTAGCAGGTTTCCTTTGTCCTTGAAACATTTCCCGCAATCTGAACACAAATAGGGACGCTCACCCGTGTGCACTCTCAGGTGTAGAAGAAGTCCTTCTTTCTGAACGAAAGATTTTCCACACTCAGAACACGAATAAGGACACTCGCCCGTGTGAATTCTTTGGTGTTTAAGGAGGTGTTCTTTCCGAACGAAACACTTTCCACACTCTGAACATGAAAAAGGACGCTCACCGGTGTGAATTTTCTGGTGATTATTAAGTTCTCCTTTCTGAACGAAAGATTTCCCGCACTCTGAGCATGAATAGGGACGTCTACCTGTGTGGATTCTCTGGTGCTTAAGAAGGTTTCCTTTCTCATGGAAACATTTCCCACACTCCAAACATGAATAGGGACGCTCACCTGTGTGACTTCTCTGATGATTAATAAGATTTCCTTTCTGGCTGAAACTTTTCCCGCACTCTGAACATGAATAAGGACGCTCACTCTTGTGAATTCTCTGGTGGATAACAAGTTGTCGTTTTTGAGTGAAAGATTTCCCACACTCTGAACATGAAAAAGGACGCTCACCCGTGTGGCTTCTCTCGTGAACGACGAGGTCTCTTTTCTGAATGAAACCTTTCCCGCACTCTGAACATGAAAAAGGACGCTCGCCTGTGTGAGTTCTCTGGTGTTTAAGAAGGTTCGCTTTCTGAATGAATCCCTTACCACAGTCCGAACACGAGAAAGGATGCTCGCCGGTGTGAATTCTCTGGTGATTAACAAGCTCTACTTTCTGAGTAAAACATTTCCTGCACTCTGAACATGAATAGGGACGCTCACCTGTATGAATTCTCTGATGCTTAAGAAGGTTTCCTTTGTCGCTAAAACGTTTCCCGCACTCTGAACATGAGAAAGGACGCTCACCCGTGTGAATCCTCTGGTGATTGAGAAAGTTTCCTTTTAGATTAAAACATCTCCCGCACTCTGGGCATGAGAAAGTACGCTCAGTCTTATGGCTTTTCTGGTGTATAGGAGACACTCTGGATTCCTTGAAAGATTTTCCAGACATTGTACATAAGAAGGAACTCTCTTCTATGTGATCTCCTTCATGGTTTACAGAAGATCCCTTGAGATGAGATGGATCTGTTGTTGTATCTGGATGGTGAGATCCCAGATTGGTGTCAGCAGTAATAGTATGTGGCTTATGGGAAGATCCCTCAGGATCAGAGGAATCCATTGGTCTCTCCGAGTGATGAGGTCTCTGGTGTATTATTTGTGTATCGGGATTTTCTCCTGGAGGACATTGTGTGGTGGCATCTTCATCTGCTTTATATTCTGAAGATCCGTTATTCCAGACATAGAGTCCACCTGTTGGAAATCAACGTTTCCATGTTAGAGGAATTCTTCCTTCAGAAGTCATATACAGGAATGTTGGTCTAACGCTCTACAGTATCTCAGAGCTCCGGCATGGAATTGGGGCCATCAGAACAGAGAATATGAATACAAACCAGACAAAGGATACAAACATGGACCTTTCATATGGTGTCCAGTATCTCCTCCTCATTTGTTGGGAACATGACGTTATATTGAGGAATGGAGATGGACCTTCATATGGTGTCCAGTATCTCCTCCTCATTTGTTGGGAACATGACGTTATATTGAGGAATGGAGATGGACCTTTCATATGGTGTCCAGTATATCTCATTTGTTGGGAACATGACGTTATATTAAAGAACTGAGATGGACCTTTCATATGGTGTCCAGTTTCTCATAATTATTGAAATTAATCTTTTTTTTACTCATAGAAGAAAAATGAAAATTTGAAGTTTTTCTGCATTTGGTGATTATTACTTACTTGTGTCAATATAAAGAAAAGATTCCTTCTGTTTACTTTCCATAATCATCTCCCCCTCCTCCATAGACTGCTGATCTCCACTCACCAACGTCTCTTCTTCTTCCTCTTTAACCTCTACTTTGATGTATTTTCTTAATTTATCCTGAACACAAAAATGAAAAAAAAAAATACAATATCTGGAAAAAATGTACATTGATTTCTGAGTTCTATAGTTCAGTCCCATCTACCTGATGATGGTGAGGGATGGTGTGATCTTCCTGTGTGGAATCCCGGGAATACAGAGGACCACCCTCCTCCATAGACTGCTGAGCTCTACTTATCAACGTCACTTTTTCTTCCTCTTCAACTTTGATATCTTCCAGTTTTTCATCCTAAAGTCCAAAGATGATAGAATACTTTTATAAAAAGGAAATAGAAGTTACATAGAAGAATGTCCTCTCATGGTTTATAATAAATACCTCCCACCGACCTGATGATGGTGGGGGATGGTGTGATCTTCCTGTGTGGAATCTCGGGAATACAGAGGACGGGGACATCTCTCTGGTGGGTTCCCATTACTGGATCCATCTACCTGATGATGGTGGGGGATGGTGTGATATTCCTGTGTAGAATCCCGGGAATACAGAGGACGGGGACATCTCTCTGGTGGGTTCCCATGACTGGATCCATCTGTAGGAAACACACACACACTGAATCCATTGTTTCTATGTGTTTATCAGATGATGGGGGATCTAGGTGGACCCTCCGTACTGCTCTCTCCTCTACAATAAAGTCTCCTCTTACCCGGTGATGTGAGGGGCAGCTGATTGTCCATCATGATGTCCTTGTAGAGGTCCTTGTGTCCTTCTAAACACTGCCACTCCTCCATGGAGAAATAGACAGTGACATCCTGACACCTTATAGGAACCTGACACACACAATGATACAGTCACCATCCCTTGTCTGTTTCTGGAGAATGTCCCAGAATTCCCGGCACCGCTCACCTCTCCTGTCAGCAGATCCATGATCTTCTGGGTAACTTCTAGAATCTTCTTGGCGCTGGTTCCCTCTGTTGTCAGGCATTGAGGTGGAGGCCCTGTGATGGGTGATGTCCTGTGAAGACAACTGCTGGGTGTTAATGGATCATCATATGTATAAACTAGAGGTTCTGGATGGACGGTTGGATAAATGGTTCTATATTTAGGATGTATCCGGTCTGCAAACCAGAGGCTCTGGATGGACGGTTGGATAAATGGTTCTATATTTAGGACGTATTCGGTCTATAAACCAGAGGCTCTGGATGGACGGTTGGATAAATGGTTCTATATTTAGGACGTATCCGGTCTATAAACCAGAGGCTCTGGATGGACGGTTGGATAAATGGTTCTATATTTAGGATGTATCCGGTCTGCAAACCAGAGGCTCTGGATGGACGGTTGGATAAATGGTTCTATATTTAGGACGTATCCGATCTATAAACCAGAGGCTCTGGATGGACGGTTGGATAAATGGCTCTATATTTAGGATGTATCCGGTCTATAAACCAGAGGCTCCGGATGGACGGTTGGATAAATGGTTCTATATTTAGGACGTATCCGGTCTATAAACCAGAGGCTCCGGATGGACGGTTGGATAAATGGTTCTATATTTAGGACGTATCCGGTCTATAAACCAGAGGCTCCGGATGGACGGTTGGATAAATGGCTCTATATTTAGGACGTATCCGGTCTATAAACCAGAGGCTCCGGATGGACGGTTGGATAAATGGTTCTATATTTAGGACGTATCCGGTCTATAAACCAGAGGCTCCGGATGGACGGTTGGATAAATGGTTCTATATTTGGATAAATGGTTCTATATTTAGGACGTATCCGGTCTATAAACCAGAGGCTCCGGATGGACGGTTGGATAAATGGTTCTATATTTAGGACGTATCCGGTCTATAAACCAGAGGCTCCGGATGGACGGTTGGATAAATGGTTCTATATTTAGGACGTATCCGGTCTATAAACCAGAGGCTCCGGATGGACGGTTGGATAAATGGTTCTATATTTAGGACGTATCCGGTCTATAAACCAGAGGCTCCGGATGGACGGTTGGATAAATGGTTCTATATTTAGGACGTATCCGGTCTATAAACCAGAGGCTCCGGATGGACGGTTGGATAAATGGTTCTATATTTAGGACGTATCCGGTCTATAAACCAGAGGCTCCGGATGGACGGTTGGATAAATGGTTCTATATTTAGGACGTATCCGGTCTATAAACCAGAGGCTCCGGATGGACGGTTGGATAAATGGTTCTATATTTAGGACGTATCGGTCTATAAACCAGAGGCTCCGGATGGACGGTTGGATAAATGGTTCTATATTTAGGACGTATCCAGTCTATAAACCAGAGGCTCCGGATGGACGGTTGGATAAATGGTTCTATATTTAGGACGTATCCGGTCTATAAACCAGAGGCTCTGGATGGACGGTTGGATAAATGGCTCTATATTTAGGATGTATTGCAACACCCACCAATTTACTCTCTAGGGCCTCTGCTTTAAAAAAAAAATAAATGAATAAATAATAATAAGTAATTTTCTAGAAATTAAAATACACGACAAGGCCTGGATGGTTGGACAGACTGAAGAGGATGGATATGACTATGGAGGAAGAGGACGGAGATGACATGGGAATTACTGGGTGTAAATACAAAATAGCACCTTATTACCTCCTCTGCTGCCAGTTGAAGGAATATCTCCCTCGACTTCCCTGAGCAGACTTCTTTCAAAGCAATTGCTATTTATATATGACATCACTTCCTGTCTGTAGATGACATCACTTCCTGTCTTTGGTTTCGCTTCCGGTCTCTGAGTTCCACTGACAATAATTGAAATCACAGCCTTGTGGAGAGAATACTAACTGCAGAGTACATTTTTCAACACTTTGACAGATGCGTCTTGGTGCGGTCTTCAGTTTTTTCGCATATATTACACGAGTAAAAAAAAAAAAAAAAAAAAAGAAATTAAAAACTATAATAATGATTTGAACATGTATTAAAATTCATAAATTCACAAAAAAACCAAAATGATTTTTTTTCAATCGGCAGGTTGAACGAAAAACCCGATTCACCCCATTCACACATTTGAAGTGGATGGGGAGATCCCTCCTGCTCCTGTGTTCTGATGGTGAGGAGAATTCCCAGCCATCAGAATACACTGTTCAGTGCTGCCGGCTACAGCCTGTGGAGCTGATCACATGGAAATTTTCGAACATGCTGATTGTACAGAAGTCGATCAGTAGCCAGTAGCCCAGGGGCCAGATGCGACCCTTTGCTTTCCTTTATCTGGCCCTATTACATCCATCCACACACACCAACAATGGGGCATAATTCCTGTCAATGACACCAATAATGGGGCACTATTCCTCCCATAGACACCCACAAAAGGGAATCATTTCTCCCACTGAGACCAATAATGGGGCACTATTCCTCCCGCAGACACCCACGAAAGGGAATAATTCCTCCCACTGACACCAATGATGGGGCACAATTTCTTCCACTGACAACAACGTTTGGACAGAATTCTTTCCATTGATACCAACGACGGGCCACTATTCTGTGGCAGCACCCAAATATTGTTCCCCTTAAGCTTTAACATTTCTAACAGCATGTTTGCAAAGCAAGGTCATCAGCTCACTTCCCTCCTCCCTTATTTCCTGTGGAATAATGTGTTCCAGTCTGTAGCTGTCACCCTTATTTTCAGCTGAAGATGGTTTATCTAGCAAGGCCATATACTGCACTGCTTAGAAAGTCTTTTAAATGTACAGAAAGTGAAAGAGGAAATATATGCATTGTGACGTAATTGCTGATATGTATACCCTGTAAGATGCTTTTCAAGGACTTCGCTTGCAGACATGAGTCCTTATTAAGTAAGCCAGCGCTGGTAAATAAAAAGTTTGTTTTCCTCAAGTTCGTGTCCGGAGTTTTACCTGGAATTCCCAAAGTTGCCAGTACAATTCCTTTCACTAATGCCAGAAATGGGGCACTATTACTCTCACTGATACCAACGAAAGGGCACAATTCCTTCTAATGACACCACGGATGGGGCACTATACCTCCCACTGACACTAATGATGGGGCACTATTCCTCCCACTGACACCAATGATGGGGCACTATTCCTCCCACTGACACCAATGATGGGGCACTATTCCTCCCACTGACACCAATGATGGGGCAATATTCCTCC